AAAACTTAAAGGGATCTTTAGCAATTTAGTATGGCACCATAAAGTCGCAGAGACTATAAAAAGACACGATCAGGGTTACATTACACACAAAAGTTATGTAGCACTTCTCCTGACGAGCAAACTGAACTTTATGAATAAAGAAAATGTTATCCTTAAACCTCAATCTAAAAAACTCTTGAGGTAGCAAGAGCTGACCAAATGCCATTCTGAACAGCTGGTCCTTGCAGAAATACTGCACTGGTATGTGAATACACGCACCTTGCATGATTTTGTCGAGGTCAAAGGTGACATCACGCTGCTCAAGGTTTTGCTCATCTGGAAAATCGTAGACACAAAGAGAGAGGGAGGAAGGAAGCCAGACAAAGTTATGCAACTCTTCATTGGTTTTCTTTAATGCACAAATTATACAGAGACAGACAGACAGACAGAACAGTGGTGGAAGAAGTATCCCTATTCACTCCTACACGTACTTGGAGGTCCCCCAATAACCAAGGAGGTGTCGAATGCCCACCCCTAATTACTCTCATTACAAGTAGGTCCTGCATTTAAAATGGTACCTAAGTAAAAGTTTGGAAGTACGAACACAACAATAGACTTCCCCATTGTGGGACTAGTAAAGGAATATCTTAAGTCAGATTTGAATGTTGTATCATTTTCAATATTTGCATACTATTTGTTAGTTTCATCTATAACAATTCATCATATTCTACTATCTCATGGAAAATCTTAATCTTGCAAGCAGCCTCTCTATGAATCTGAAGTATTTGCCCCTGAAACGCAGTGAAACAAAAGTGCCAGAATATAAATATTCATGTAATAAAACAGTACATTCCACCAGTGGAGACATCACAGCAGGCATGCACATAAAAGCCCTTTGAATACTGGAGGATTCATGTCAGTGTGGGCGCAATAAACGCACTTACAGCAGTTTAGACGAACCAACATGGAGCCCGGCCATCAGCCAAGAAGCAAACACAACAATTTCTGACATGAACAACAACACAAAAGAAAAAGCAACAACAGTACCAACCCTCATGCGCTGAGCTCAGTAAAACCAACACAAACGCGGTGGCGCAGACTAGAGCCGGAGACGACCCCATTGCCAACTTGATAGTGTCTCTCTGGTACTGTTTGTCCCGCTGCTGCTGGCTGTCCTGGCACAGAGGGAGGGAGAGAGAAAGGGAGAGAGGGAGAGAGAGAGAGAGCAGAGGCCGCCCAGGAAAGCACGCTCAGCGGGGCAGCGCTCAGACCGGCCCGTTAATTGGTCCAACAGAAGCCGCCGTGCTGTCCGTCTGCAACCGGGGAAAACAGTTTTTATGGTTGTTGTGGGGTTTGAGGGGGGGGGATGAGGCGGAGTGAGGGGAAAAATAGGGAGGGGAGGAAGTTTTTCAACATGACTCATAAGTGCTCCGCTTAAATCCTGGGTGCAGTTAGGGTGCGCTTATATGGGAAAAGTATGATCTCGTTTTCAGTCACTGAAACTGTGGGCTGTGTGTGTTTGAACATGACTACTGTTAAGCTATTTACTCCTCAGTTAGCACCTGTACTGCCAGTTCTTGCTGAAACAAAGTCATTATTTAACTCATTTTATCACACAGGGGATTAAAGGTGAATTATTATCATTAGGCCTATAATTCATTTAGCAAATATTTTGGAAGCATCATTAGCTGCCCCCCCCCCAGAAAAAAACAAAGTAAACAATCTAATCTTGTCATTTGTTACCTCGATTTTAATTTTGTCCATCTCACCCACTGTGTTAGTGATTTATTGTTTGCTTAGATATTAAAGGCCTTAAATTCCTTCTTATCTCACACTGTTGTTGTCCAACAGTTTGAGTCCAGGGTTATCATGGTCTCACAAATTCCAGTCTGAGAGACAGTGTGACCTCTACACAATCCCTCCCACCATGTTCTCCAGAAAAACTTACTTTGCAGATGCAGACAGCAATTTAATGAGTTTCCACAGTTTGCTCGCTACAGGCCACAGCTTAAACTGGCAGGATTATCCAGCTTTTGCTGCGCTGCCCATAGCTCTTTCCCATCACTTACAGTAGATAGCAGGATCAAAGTTTCTGGTTGGTGGTTGTGAATGATGGAGGTCCGGAAACTGTGTTTGTCCCGGGTAGAAAATCCCCCCGAGAGGTCAGACAGCAAAGAAAGGCAAACAAACTTGCAGGGCTGCAATGTACTCCCTTTCATACTTGTACTGGAAAGAGAGGGCCACTGTCAAAATATGAGCATGGGTTGACAGTAAAGACTAACATTGTGGCACAGCTTTATGTTGTTTTCCAGGAGTAAAATGATGTCTAGTTTATTTATATTGCTCAAGTTCATGTCTCTATGGTCGTTACAGGTCAAGAGCAGCCAAAGTATCTTAACGCAGAAGGAAAAAACCAAGAAACCACAAGAGAGGAAATTAAAAGAGGACTCCCACTCTTTGGATTACTGTGGGTGTAATAGTTACAACGAGTGGGAAAATGGCTATTAAATAAACAGAGTTGTACTTTGCTTATCTTCTATTCAACATGAGACGTCAACAAGAATTATTTTTGTCTTTCTAAACTAAACTATGAGAGCAAAAATCACTGCATATGAAGGTTGTTTAGAAAGTTGTTTTTTAGCAAACAACCACACATGAAAAAGAATATAAGAGCACAGCTAGTTTTCTAGCATGACTGCAAGGATGTGTAACATAGATTCTTTGTGGCTTTTTAAGGGAAATTGCCAGTTGACTCAGTCTTTTCATTATTTGCTTCCTCTTAACTTGGTTAGCAACAGTTTCTGTCTATGACAACCTGATGACAACTTTCCATTGCCACAATCTGCATAAGGGTCATCCACAATGACTAATATTTCCTTTGTGTTACATGCAGTTGCACATCTACAGTATTGTGCTGGGACTATGTCTGGATGTTCCTCCATATGCGACTGATAATGATAAATAATGCAGAACTATGTCTGCTATGAAATTTGCTAACAAGACCCTTTTTGTTGCACGTCCCAGTCTTACACAACTGCTTACATTACATTTGTTTTTTCAAATAGATAAATAAAGTTAGCACATCTGTTTGGTGTCACAGGCTCAGCAGTTTATTATAAGAGTTACATGGAATTATCTTCATTATAACCTCCGCTGTTCCAGGAACAGGACGAACTACATCCAGACATATATTACTTAATGCTGAAACCTATCATCATTTCCTCTGCACTCATGGCTTTATTTAAAGATATGTAGAGAAAACAAAAGATATGCAGGTTTATCTGAAAAAAAGGGAAAAGTTTCCACACAGAGGAACAGACTTCTACTGTATCACATTTTTGTAATTGAATATTTATTCTACATTTAATGCAACATCTTTTCAAAGCTCAAAAGATATAAAAGCCTGTGAGGATTTATTTGAACACAAAGGATAACATTTTAGAGGTACTGCCACTTTGTGGGACTTATTAGTCAATCTGTGACAACATCAACCTGAGGAGAAACATTTCTCTAGAGACATACAGATGCAATGAGGCAGGTCTCTTGTCTCTTTTTGGGTGTGTATAGCACTGAATATGTACACATATCACATTCAGCTCAGTTGTTTCTGAGACTGTCACAATGAGGACAAGAGTCTTACAGTTTACTGGCATTTAACAAATCTGATGTCTTCCTATTGTTGTTGTTGAAGGAAATAGTTGTGATATTATCATTCAAATGTCTGACATTGCGGAAACAGTATAATACAGCAATGACGTTGAGATGAAAATCTTTTGAGGCATAAAGGTTACTTATAATATTTAATACTACAAGAACAGTCTGTGTATTATACTGAGTTATTGACCATTTTAAGTTTGTGCTGCCTCTTTGAATCTCTATGTCTGAACACACAACAACTGGACAGAATCACAAAAGCACACTCCTGAGAGAAAATATATCCCATTGACAATGTACTGTCAAAGAACATCAAAACATCTGTTTCCCTGGAATAATCAAAATAGTTTTAAGCTATCAAAATATGGAAATTTATGTTTGACACAATCTACCAAAAAGCTCTGCTGGGAGTCATACTTAACACACTACAACTACTGTGCTTCTCTCTCATTTTTTATTATTAGAAAAATAGATTCTGTCAGGAAGTAATGATGAGATTTAAAATAATGTGTGTATGTGTGTGTGGTGCTGTGTCGGTGCCTGTGTGTGTGTGTGTACGACTGTGTCTTTGCATATTCTACTAAATCCTCAGTGAGTGGTCCCCGGCAGCAGCTCTGCCTCAGAGGCAAACAGCTCCTTGTAGAGTGGAGGGAACTGAGAGTGAGCGATGAGCGGGTAACGCTGACTGAACCAGCGCAGCTTCTCCATGTGCAGACTGCACAGTGAACGCAACACCGCCATCCTCTGGTAGAGCTGCGGAGAGGACACAGACACAATTAGACATCTGTTTTCTACCACAGTGAGGAACATGCAGATCAAAGAATAATGTGTTTGCTTTTTTTAATCAGCTTTAACCAAGCAGAGAGCTAAAGATAAAGTATCTGCTCTATAATGAGACACGTACCTTGTGCATTAGACTTTCTTGGTTGTCTCGGCGTAGAATGTGTGTGAGTCCTAACTCCACGCTTCTTTGCACTCGTTGAACCCTGCTTCTATCCTCCAGACTTGGACGATCTGCACAGAAAGACAAAAAAAGCAAGAGGATTTATTTTTAAGGGTGCACCATATTACTCTGCATACATGTGGATATTCCTGGTTCACTGTGTGGCCTGTAAATGTTACCATGTCTATTAACAGCCACTGGGGGGCAGAGAAGCTGAATGTGTGAGAATGAAAAACTAAACCACAGAGCAAAATGTGATGGAAAAAGGATGACTTGTACTTCTCAGTTGTCTGATCTACCGTAGGTCTATTGAAAGCAGAGAAATGTTGAATATTTCAGGAATTATTTGGCTGTTGACAATGATAAAAGCTTATAACCTATTTCTGCTACATTTGTTTTGCATGTCTCAGTCTTACAGTTTATATTGATAATATTGATGGGTTGAAAATGTAATGTGTTTCACAAACCAATATCAAGGTTAAGGTGACTAAAAATATATGTCTTTAGTTAAATATTTTTTTCAAAATGTCAGCTTTCTGATCTGGCACATGGTCCTGATACACTGTCAAGATTTAGCCATAAATGACCATCAGTGTAAATCTTAAAATGTAGACTGGGTAAATCTTGGGGAACGAAAAAAGACAACTCAGCTTCCAAAAGATAAACAAAACAAAACTGATGTTCCCTGGTGAAAAGCATGACATATATTGCTTATCCTGTTGGTAATCAACTGCACTGAAGTGTCTTTCACACTTTTTTATGTTTTAGAACTGTGGAATATAATGCAACCTGACTGAGAGACAGGTGAGTTGATCTTACCTGTGTTGATCAGCACCAGAGCACTGAAGAGAGCAATCTGGTGCTCAGTGAGCTTTAGAGCACACATACCATGAGCAAAGTCAAACACCGCAGTGATTAAATCACCACATGCTGCAAGAAAAGAAACCACAGAGCATTGATAAACCACCATATTTATATTTTGAGCTCAATGTGTGAATGGTTTCAGAACTGCTGTTGTGCTTCATGTATGGAGCAATGCAGAGAGAAATCCTCACCCAAGGACTTGAAGACTTCCCCTCCAGCAAATTTCCCGTCAAAGAAGACGGTGTTGTTCTCTGTGTTGAAGAATCGACACATCCTGACCAGAACCACCTCCATGGAGCCTGAGAGAAGAGGGGAAGAAAGGGGTCAGTTAAAAGGAAAAAAAGAGCGATTAAAAGCATTTTAGATTGCGATTGAAGGGGATGGTCCCTTCTTGTAAGTGACAGTTAAATTCACCAGTCTTCAGGAGAGCAATCTGGTCGTTTTGGCTGAGCATACGGAAGCCTGGGATGTGTTTCGCGAACTCCACCACATACTGCACGGCATCAGTCAGTCGGACGGCACAATGCTGCCACATCTCATCCACTGACTGGGAGTAAGAAAAAGTGTAGAGTGAGTTTATTTCGAAGAAGTCTTTGCAACATAATATTCAAATCAACAAACATTTTAACCAATTTTAACATTGCCATTGCCACATGCCATTCAGTCTACTACTTATTCTTATAATTTAGCATATTTACTGTACTTCAAATGTTTATTTAGTGTAATTATAGCATATTCAGTGCTAAAAAGCAATTTTGGAAGGATCATCAAAGCCATTAACTTCAAGCTGAACATAAGTCTTCTGTGTGATCAAAGAGAGAGAAGTAGAGGAGCGGGGAAAATGATGAAACAAGTTTTCTCGG